CGCAGAGCGAGCGGTGGCAGTGACCCATGACCCGGATCGGAAAGTGGGTGCCAGAGGGGCGTGTATGCACACCCAGCGAGGCCGAGGGTTGGGGTTAGGGTAGGACATCGCCGAGGATCGATTTTCCCACTTGGTGGGCACCCTCCGCCCTCGGCGAGCGAGCGAGGAGGGTGGATCGAAGGGAGAAGAGGATCCCGGTATAGAGAGAGGAGCGTGCGCGAGTGAATGAGAAAGGCAAAGAGAGGGTGTATGTGTGTGTGTGTGTGTATGTATATATATGCACGTGTGAGTCTTCTCTCTCCGGAAGGGTGCTGGAGGAGGGAACCCTTAGCGCTCTCGATATTCCACCCTTTTTCAGCATCCATTTCCGTTCTCCGTCACGGCGTGCGCGTTATCGTCGACGCGCTTCCTGTAGAATCTTGCGGCATTCTACGGTGTCCCGGTCGGAGACTCCTTCGAGGGTTGAGAAGAGAGAGAGGGCGAGCAACTAACTCAAGCCCGGCCGACCTAGGAACGCCAGTTTCGATCGAGAGAGGAAAGTTGACACTCTCTCTCTGCGTCCGATAACGTTATTGATAACGTTACATCTTCTCCGGCTGGAAACGCTAAAAGCGGCCGCTAGATAATTCCCGTATAGATTTTTCTTCCCTCTTCTGTATCGATAAAACGTACACGGAAAGAATTTTCTCTTAGAACTTACCCTATGAAAATCATGGTAATCGTGAGACAATATAGGTGTTGGTAGAATTTTGCTAGAGTTTCTCTGATTGATATATTTATCGTGACAAAAAATATTAATAGGTACGTAGATAATTTCTGTATATATTTTTCTTCCCTCTTTTGTATCGATAAAACGTACACAGAAAGAATTTTCTCTTAGAACTTACCCTATGAAAATCATGGTAATCGTGAGACAATATAGGTGTTGGTAGAATTTTGCTAGAGTTTCTCTGATTGATATATTTATCGTGACAAAAAATATTAATAGGTACGTAGATAATTTCTGTATATATTTTTCTTCCCTCTTTTGTATCGATAAAACGTACACGGAAAGAATTTTCTCTTAGAACTTACCCTATGAAAATCATGGTAATCGTGAGACAATATAGGTGTTGGTAGAATTTTGCTAGAGTTTCTCTGATTGATATATTTATCGTGACAAAAAATATTAATAGGTACGTAGATAATTTCTGTATATATTTTTCTTCCCTCTTTTGTATCGATAAAACGTACACGGAAAGAATTTTCTCTTAGAACTTACCCTATGAAAATCATGGTAATCGTGAGACAATATAGGTGTTGGTAGAATTTTGCTAGAGTTTCTCTGATTGATATATTTATCGTGACAAAAAATATTAATAGGTACGTAGATAATTTCTGTATATATTTTTCTTCCCTCTTTTGTATCGATAAAACGTACACGGAAAGAATTTTCTCTTAGAACTTACCCTATGAAAATCATGGTAATCGTGAGACAATATAGGTGTTGGTAGAATTTTGCTAGAGTTTCTCTGATTGATATATTTATCGTGACAAAAAATATTAATAGGTACGTAGATAATTTCTGTATATATTTTTCTTCCCTCTTCTGTATCGATAAAACGTACACGGAAAGAATTTTCTCTTAGAACTTACCCTATGAAAATCATGGTAATCGTGAGACAATATAGGTGTTGGTAGAATTTTGCTAGAGTTTCTCTGATTGATATATTTATCGTGACAAAAAATATTAATAGGTACATAGATAATTTCTGTATATATTTTTCTTCTCTCTTTTGTATCGATAAAACGTACACGGAAAGAATTTTCTCTTAGAACTTACCCTATGAAAATCATGGTAATCGTGAGACAATATAGGTGTTGGTAGAATTTTGCTAGAGTTTCTCTGATTGATATATTTATCGTGACAAAAAATATTAATAGGTACATAGATAATTTCTGTATATATTTTTCTTCCCTCTTTTGTATCGATAAAACGTACACGGAAAGAATTTTCTCTTAGAACTTACCCTATGAAAATCATGGTAATCGTGAGACAATATAGGTGTTGGTAGAATTTTGCTAGAGTTTCTCTGATTGATATATTTATCGTGACAAAAAATATTAATAGGTACATAGATAATTCCTGTATATATTTTTCTTCTCTCTTTTGTATCGATAAAACGTACACGGAAAGAATTTTCTCTTAGAACTTACCCTATGAAAATCATGGTAATCGTGAGACAATATAGGTGTTGGTAGAATTTTGCTAGAGTTTCTCTGATTGATATATTTATCGTGACAAAAAATATTAATAGGTACGTAGATAATTTCTGTATATATTTTTCTTCCCTCTTTTGTATCGATAAAACGTACACGGAAAGAATTTTCTCTTAGAACTTACCCTATGAAAATCATGGTAATCGTGAGACAATATAGGTGTTGGTGGAATTTTGCTAGAGTTTCTCTAATTAATATATTTATCTTAACAAAAGATATTAATATGTACATAGTAAAATTTACTAGATACATATTAATATTTTTGATTGTGGTAAATATTAATCAGAGAAACTCTTATAAAAATCTTCCAATACCATATATATTGTCCCAGGATACCATGACTTTCAGTAAATTCTAAAAAAAAATTAAAATTCGCTCTGTGTATACACACATACATACATACTTCTCCCGTCTGAAAGAATCGGATAGTCAATAAATACGCGACGAAAATAATTTGGGCAATTTCGGTTATACGAAGGGATATAACGAGATACACTATCGCGACACGGACGGGAAATCGATGCAAAATGTGATAATACGGTTTATTATTATCCTCCGCAGTTCTATTCCAGCGAGTCGGAGATATACATATATATATATATATATATATATATATATATATATATAATGTGATGCGGTGTCGTATAGCCGATATATAATTATATAATCTGATGAATATCGTACACTGCGAGCAATAGTCATAAGATCGATACGAATATAATAATGGGGATGGTTTATTATTATCTTGCTGTTCTACGCGTATAAGGATATATTATGCGGCCAATATAAAATAATATATATATATCTGTAACTATTGTAATACGATGATATCGTGGATAATAACGCCATTCATCGTTACCTAATAATATATGCTTTATTGTTCACCTGGAAATAGGTCTAGCGTTTCGTTCTGTTTTTAATCAAACAAATCGCGAATTATTCTGCCTAAAGAAAATTTAATCGGTAATCGTCAAAGACGAGAAAGAATTAAAAAATAGATCGATGGGAAGTTATGCTTCACGTTTTAAACACACTTCTCTGAGAGAGCTGCTCTTTTTCCCCTTGCTATTTTACACGCCTCCCTAAAAGCGAAAGAGACCTAAAAGAACGCATCCAAATTCTCCCATTTAGATTTTTACTCGATTGCGACCGATGAATGCTGATACTAATTACTGAAAAAAAATTTATTGAATTCAAATAAGTATTTATTTCAATACTGTCAAATAAATAATTTATTTGTGAAACTGATAATATTGATTTGATGTGAAAAATATTTATTTGCTATAAGAAAATCCTTTTTAAAACAGATAAATATTTATTTGTTTCAAATGAATGATTTATTAGGCAATATTGAAATAAATATTTATTAATTCAATTTTTTTTCAGTGCACAGGTATCTGTAATCTCTTTAAATTCAACGCATTTTTTGCGATCCTCCATTTTTATTATATCGATGTCGAATTTTGAAATTACACATTTAAAATAAATATATATATATATATATATATATCGAGAGGTAATTTGAATTAAATGCAGAAACAGAAATAATGTAGAAATATATATAAATAGCTGTATTCTCGAATTAGATTCGCCCTTTTCTCTCGTACGATATATTATCTTGATATTCAAGATATACAAATGATTATAATTGAAAAACTCTCGATACGGAACTGAAAGCTCGTGTAAAAAAACACATGCACTTTGCTAGAAATTGATAAAAATAAACCCCATAAAACATTTAGCGAAGAAAAGTTCAATGACGATCAGACTGGAATTCCTCGATGACATTTCGATAGTTTTGATATATATATATATATATATATATTTTTTTTTTTTGTGATGCAAGCTTTCTTCAGCATGACGTAACCTAATCCGCGCCCCGATAAAAAAACAACTCGACGCGATTAAATTCGGAATAAAAATTTCCGCATATGTCACTCTTGCAAAAAAATAAGCCGTGCGATGTAAAATAAGCGACGCGTTTCTTATAAATCGGGGCGATTATTTATATTTGAGAACGTAACAAATCGGAATCCCCGACGCCGAAAATTTGATTCGCATCTACATCACATAAAACAGACACGTTTCGACCATATACGGACGTGTGGAGTGGCTCTCACGATAACGATGCGGTTGATTGACAATGATTGTTATCGCGGATGCCCCGCAATCGATCGAAACTAGTTCAGCCTGATTTTGACGAATTCGTTTGCCTGTGTTCGTCGAAGGCACGGATATTCTATATATACGTTTTGCATTCTTTTTATCTGCGGGATTGATACGCCCGTTTGGTGGATTAAGAAATTTATTGGAATATCGGCAAATAAATAATCTGAGAGACAGATTCGCCGCTATAATTGTAACGCAAAAATAATGTTCGCGAGATTTTCGAAACCAAATAAGATTGAATTGTACAAGACATGACATATTTAGACAAATTTATTTGGCTATTTCCGTAAAATACATTTCGCAATTTATTTTTCTTGTATTGATAATAGCTCTCTAAATATACGCTTTTTTAATTTTTTTTTATTTGGCGAATAACGCACGAAATATTTATAGAATATTACATGTAACGTCACGTAGTTGTTGAAGATAAATATTTTAAAAAGATTATATTTTTTCACATCGGAGGAAAAATCTTGAAAACATAGAACATTCAATAAATCGTGCGCAGCGAATAATTAAAGAAATTGCTAAGAAATCATTTACTAACTCTTTATTGTTTCATTCTGTTTCAGTTTTCTAGATAAGGTAGCCATCGTAAAACAGCCAGATTACACGCCCACGGAACAGGTAAATATCACACACATCCAATCTGCCTTTTATACAAAAATTTAAAACCATCGATATATTGATGTAATTTTGCTGCATAGAGAGAATTTTCTGCTAGAATTTTTTAGAAAATCATGGTAATTGTAGGACAATATATAAAATTGAAGGATTTTATAGGAGTTTCTCTAATTAATATTTGCATCACAATAAAAAATATTAATATCCACAATAAGATATAAAATGTTCGATTAATTTTACTATACGTACATATTAATATTTTTTATTGTGGTAAATATTAATCAGAGAAACTCTTATAAAATTCTTCCAATATCATCTCACGATTACCATGATTTTCAGGGTAAATTCTAAGAGAAAATTCTCTCCGTGTGCGTGAACGGAATCTTTCAAACGTCATTCTGTCGTTTATAAGAAAAAAGAAAAATTACTCCGGATTCGTTCCTTATCGACACCTCGACACGAGGATGGATACACCGAACTGCTAATAATGCCGGGTTCTGTTTCAGGACATCCTGAGGTGTCGAGTCCTCACGTCCGGCATTTTTGAGACGCGGTTTCAGGTCGACAAAGTGAACTTTCAGTAAGTCCTAGTGCGACACGCTTTGCTCCAATGTCGTGTGACTATATATAGCCGACATATTACAGTAACATCGGTCGACGGTAAATATAAACGCAAAGCTGCGGCGGCGACGGCGGCATCTTACTTAGCCTAGCCTCCTCTGCCTGTGTGTTGTTGTTACGCCCGCTGCTGAGAGAGAGAGAGAGAGAGAGATAGATACTTACACTGTTATAACGTGTAAGCTGAAATCCGTTAACCGCGTTAACGCCTCCGCAACTTTGTAACATTTTCCCTTTTTGCGTTCACTCGCAGGCAGGTCACGTACGGCGCCCCACATTATTCTCTATAGGCCCGCTATCTCTTTGTCGCTTCGTCTTCTCTTCTCTATATGCTCGTATAGACGTTTCACGGGCTACACAAATCCGAAGCTTCTCCAACAAACGCTCGAGAAGTCTGTCCACTTGTGGCTTTAAACGCCTGAATTATTTCTCGTTAAAAAAACTCCGTATCATAATCACCGCCATCTGCTTGACGAAATCTAAAAAATCCAAAAGATTTAATAATACAATTTATAATATTACTTTTCTAAATGATCAACATTTTTCTAAACGAGGGAGGGCTTGCGATAAGAATAAGGTTCGGATCAGTTGCAGTTAACTATTTTATTGATTATTGTATTCTTTTTTTCTTACAGTATGTTCGACGTTGGTGGCCAGCGCGATGAAAGAAGAAAATGGATACAGTGTTTCAATGATGTTACGGCGATTATATTTGTCACGGCGTGTAGTAGTTACAATATGGTACTCAGGGAAGATCCTACGAAGCTGAGACTCAGAGAGAGTCTCGACCTTTTCAAAAGTATCTGGAACAATCGGTACGCAAGTTTCGATCTTTATGTTATACCGCGATGAATCAATACTCATTCCTTTTTTTCTTTACTTGACAGATGGCTCCGCACGATTTCTGTGATCCTGTTTCTAAACAAGCAAGATCTGTTGGCGGAAAAAGTCAAGGCGGGCAAGCACAAACTCGAGGACTACTTTCCGGAATTCGCGCGTTACCAGACACCAGTCGAACCCGGGGTAGTCGCCGATCCCTCGGAACCGCCTGACGTCATAAGGGCCAAGTACTTTATCAGAGATGAGTTTCTCGTAAGTACAAAGTTGAACGTCAATCGCATCTCGCGGCATTCAACAACGTTTCGAGATGTTGCTTGCTTTTCTAGCGCATAAGTACGGCGAGCGGTGACGGCAAACACTACTGTTACCCGCACTTCACATGCGCCGTTGACACGGAGAACATCAAAAGAGTGTTCAACGATTGCCGGGACATCATCCAGCGGATGCACCTGCGTCAATACGAGCTCTTGTGACTTCGTTCCTGCCGACGTCTCCTGTCACCATCCGTTAACCTGACCGTCACGCTCGTACTGCATCTCGAGCTGTAATCGCTACGAATGAGCGAACCCTGCGAGAAACTCTGTCGCGAGAGCATTCGCCGCCAATCAGGTAACGCGCGCGCCGAGGGCTTCCTCCGGGATCGAAAAGCGTAGCCGGCGGAATGGACGACCACGTTCGTCGAGAACGCGCTAGCAGACACCAAGAGAGAAAGGATTATGCTTCTTTTCGTCGACAAGATTCAGTAAGATGAGCCGGTACGTCGATATACGCCTGCTGCTGAATCTCTCTCTCTACCATCTGAAGCCTGTCTCTCGCGAGCGAAGCGTTTTAAATCGTGCAAAAACCCGTGTGTCTCGCTTCGCGGTCGTACGAAACAAAAAAAAAAAAGAAATGAACGAGCGGCCCCTCCAGCGGGCGTATTCTCGAACGGTCACTCGACTCTCCTTTGAGTTAGATGAAAGAGTGTGCTGAACACTCGTCGTCGTCGTCGTCATCCGAACGACGATGGCGGGAATGAAACTCTCGCGCTCGATCGTGCGTATGAACCATTTACCTCGTTAATTTTATTCCTATATTCGCGTGCAATCCCGTTCAGGAAACGCGCGGATCCTGTCGTAAACGTGGGCCAACGTCGTCATCGGGTGTAATTCGAGTGACGATCCTCTTCTCGTTCAACACACTCTTGACGTGAATTATTATTATTATCGTTATCAGCTTAGCGTTAAGGATGTTTCCTAAGACTTAGGCGAACCTCTCCGGTGAAAAGAAAAAAAAAGAAGAAAAACTTTTACCGTTTTTAACTTTCTCCCTTTTACTCGTTTCACGAATCTCCGCTACTACCTTGCCTAGCTCCTCCTTACATCTCGCTTAGAATCTCCGCGTTCTCCCGTTTTCTTCTTTTGCTTTCGTTATGAGCTTTCGACTTTCGAATCTCGATTCTTTTTATTATTATTATCATCATTGGCCCGATCCCTAAAAGTCTCAGCCGCGCCCTTTTTACGAGAAGAGTATTTTGTGACATTTTACAGTATTTCGAAGAGCGTTTTAATTATATAAATATGTATCGAGTATGTACAGGGTGACCGTCCACGGATTCTCATCGTTTTTTACGTACATTTCTTATCGATCGAGGTCTCTCACGGATATGGACTTTCCCTCTTTTTTCTTTTTTTCCTTTTTTTCCTTTTTTTCGTTTATCATGTATACTGTAACCTTTTTTTTAAATTTCTCTGTACTTAGACACGCGTACTACCGCAACAGTAATAAGGTCTGTACATCCTAGCCCCAAATGAAATGTGCCACAGTTCAAGTTCTTCGTTACCACGCATGCAAGTATAATTTTGCGGTACGTTGCACGCACATGACATTTTATTAAACTCGTGTAAAATTTAATTGATCGTTTTACTTTGGCACTGAAATTCGTATCTCACTTTCGGAGAGATCGTCGCGCCCCGATGATACGTTGATGGTAACGTGTACAAAATTTTTACGCGACTGACCCAAACAGTCAATCACGGTGGATCATTTTTACGGCGAATGCCCCGGGTCCGATGTGCAAGAATCTTATCTCCCATGCGCCGCCATCATTGCATCCACTTCTCCCTCGTCGTCGTTACTCGGTCCTATATCTGATAAATCATGTGTCAATTTTTTTCCTGTAAATTTAACTTTTTTATGTACATATTTTAATTGGCGTTATGTCAAAAGATAACGAAATGCTTGCACAACAATGACATATGCACATAGATCAAGTAAAACTTAAACATTTGAAGAGTCAGCTCCAATTGACAGCTGCTTTATTCCAGCCATCTTTTTATCGAAAATACGAAAATCGAAGATCTCTTTGCTATTAATATTTAGTTACTAAAAGATCGCGTATTTATAATTGTATATAATAATTTTGTAAAAAAATATATATATATATTTTGATGATATGTATCAAGTCTGAAAATTTAGCATCGTGTATCAAAAGGATTTGCTGTAATATATTGATGAAGAGAAAAGAAAAATAATGCATTAAGGATTAATATATTTTGTTAGCTTGGCATTAAAAAATAATCATTATAAAATAATGCGTTGAAAAGAGCGGAAAGATTTCGAAGAAAGTTTTTGCGCATTTACATCGTCAATTATCGATTTCGATCTTGTTTTTAGAAGACTCGAGAATGATCTATTGCGTATATCATTGCGTGCTCGTGTTTCGAGGGTATAATGCGTATACGATAGACACATCACTAATGTTTTGCATATGTATATCATCGTATATGCGATATCGTCGTCTATAAGATTCTACGGGATCAAAAGCGAGAACAAAAACTCCGTAAAATTGCGCACACAAAACACATTCGTGTATACATATACACACATTTTGATATTAATCCTTTAGCTACACATATAGATGCATCTAACAAGACTCGAAAAATTTGCAGCAAAGTCTCAAGTCAATATAGTCGATTAATCTTCTTTACATAATTTTTGAAGCTTGAAATTATTACTTTACAAATTATAATATAGTTATTTTAATAAAGATAGACATTTTTTACATCGTTATCGCAATACATCTCTATCTTGTTTGATCAAAGAAGCTCTTTTAAATACTGCAGCCAAAGGGTTAATATCAATTATCGACATACCGTGATTTTTTTACAGAAATAATGGAATTAAAGCGAGTGAAATAAAAGTCAAGAGTGAAATGAGCGAGGTTTCGTGTAATATACTGTAATACACTCGGCCGTTATTCCTATTCTTTTTTGATTAAAAGATTGTCAATCGTCCTTTATAATCTTTCTATTATAATCCGTGACGGTGCTTGTATACATGTTCGACTAATTTTACGTTCGATCCACAAAACTATTTTTAAAAGTATCGGAAAAGAATTTTGTTCATAATCTTCATAAACGATTAATCACGCGACTCGATCTTTCACCTCATACGTTTTATTCAGGCGACATTAGCGTCGTGTTTTAATATTTTTCACCATTAAATTAATCTATATCTCAGGCGCGATTCTTGCACTCTTTTTCTTTCATCGTGACTCGACGAGAATAGGAATTTCGGGGCATTACATAACTGGTATCCTCTACATGCCGACGTGTCCACAAACTACGTAACTGTAATTTCATATATCGATGTACGTGTATATAAATACGTAGAGTGGTACGAATAAGGCAAACGTTTCGCCGAACGAAATTCTTCTCTGCTCTTTTTTGCGCGATAGATAAAATCAAATGTGTCAATCGTTTCATCGCATTTAGCGTCACACGTGTAACGCACGATGTTACATTACAGAATTAAATTCGAAAAATTCTAATCTGGCTCTATAAATATAACGAGGATATACAAATGACATTTGGCGGAGAAAGGAAATGATACAGCCGCCTCGTTCGTGTCACTATGTACACTTACATCTGTCGTACTAGTACATAATAGACACACAAGAGCCATAGTTTGTAACGTTATTTATAACTTTGCGAAACGTTATTTTTACTATGTGACTGACGTGATTGAGAGGGAGAGAAAGAGAAAAGGGATGTGTGAGAAGAAATGTCGAACGAAGGAGAGAGAATATTTCTCTATCTCTCTTCGCTCGGTTATTATATCTATTGACAACTTCCGTGAAACTTGAATGTTCACACCCGGCACAAAGTCAAGTAGAAGCGAGAGTGTAACGAGAGTAATCTCGCCGCGGGTATTCTCGTTCCTATATATTTCCCCATCCCTTCCCTTCCTCTTTTCCTTTTTCCATAGTATACGAATAACCAAATACGCCCTGATTTCTTATTTCGAGAGGTTTACGTAGCGACGTCGAACGGAAATTAGCGCGAGCAAGAGACAAATCGAAGCCACGTAATAACGAATTTCTATTGTCCACGTTAGAAAGAGAAAATATGTGTGTGTGTGTATGTATGTATGTATGTGTGTGTGTGTGTGTGTGGGATACGCAAGAACGAGATATCGCTATTATCCATAAAAAAGGAAGAATTCACGAGTGTTGATATATATTATTTGTATGCGTGTGTGTATATGTATGTGTGTGTGCGTGCATGTATTAAAAAACGAGGTAGAAAGGATGCGATGTGCCGAATAAGTAGATCGAATAAATCGAGTTACGTGGCCACGATTATGTAGCGCGACATACACACACATATAAATACATATATGTATACATACGCCGAGATCGCACAAGTTTTTCTTTTCTTTTTTTCCGTACGTAAGTAAACGTAAAGAAAAAACGGACATGCGAGTATCTATATAAGCATATATTATTCATATTATATATATTTATTATACATATATATATGTATATAAATATATATTTTATGTATAATATTTCTTGGACGCGCGCAGATATATATCCTTATTTGTAAATAATTAACGGTGTCAGTTTCCGCGTGTTACCGTAAATAAAGAGCAATGACGTTATGATTTCGGTGGACGTTCGAATAAAGATTGCGCGTCTCGTCTAATTTAAATCGAGGGACAAGCTATATATGAATATAAGTAAAGGAGGTCATCGTGTCTCGGGCCGATGAAACGCCGTCACTCGTTGACGACCTAGCGCGAGGTAAAACAACAGCTGATTGTCTCGTGGAACGCGACCGTGAACGCGATTTTAAGTCGACGACGAGCGGCCCGTAAAAAAAAAAAAGAAAGCAATCGATGCTACGAAAACGCCAATCGTTGATAAAGAAAATAAAAAGAGGAATAGATGCAGCACACGTTGTCCGCGAAGCGCATTATTGTTTCGTCCTTAGCAATATTCTTTGTGGACCACGTCGCGGATTATGTAGCCTTAAATAGCGAAAGTGAAAGTAGACCTGTGCGATATTGGAAATGGCATAACGAAAATGTAAAGGGGAAGGATCCGAGGCAAAACCGCTAATGAGGAACTATATAATTGCTAGGCAATTTTGCGATATATTTCCCTTTGCATTCGGTGATCTGCGGCTCGGTTGCACTACTAATTAATTCGGTCATTAGCGTCAGGCTAGGATAGATCCATGTTCTCCTTTAACGTAGAAGAAGAGGAAACTAAGCCAGGGGCTAATGCAAAAATCTAAAAAAAAAGAAAAGAAAAAAGAAGAGATGTCTAAAATATGAAAATGACACATGATATATATTTTAAAGATTTGCGTTGACCACCATACAAGAATTAAAGACGGCTAATCACCGGATTGCGTGAGTGCAACTCGACCCGCATAATCTGCGCTGCAATGATAGTTGAAAAAAGCCGAGATCGTTATGCATTTCCAATGAGAGCGCAAAACGTTTACCGATCTTGTGCGCGTGACTTTGAATGCTGCGCCACAGATTAAGATTAGATCACGAGCGAATCATTATTGTCGTTACGCTGTTATTCAATAAACAATCTCCTCGCATTGTCGCAAATTTTATTAAAGAAAGTGCGAATAGTAAAATCATTGTAACATTAATTATCTTATTGTGTCATCGCGCGACTGACGACTGTCGTGAATCATTGTTAGGAGCTGATCTACTGTAAGTAGCGGCTTGAGCGAGTTCTTTTTTTCGCGTAACGTCGCCGGGACGATTTGCAGAATCGGGAGAATTAAATTATGCACAAATTTAAAAAAAAAATCTCGAAAGTTCACTCAGACTCGCGATGAAATCGTTTTAATCGACGTCCGACACATCCGAGCGCAAACTTTGATTTTGTAAGATTTATCTCGTGAAATTTTATATCCTAGTTTTATATATATTACATGTGTTTTTCTTATCGTAAGAGGAAGGCAGAAAGAGAAAAAGAGAGTTTCTTTGCGATTTCTCGAAAAATTGAAACCAAAAATTTAATTTTATGGCAAACTGTGCGTCTTTCATTCAGTCGAGAGCGTTAGAAGCGGATGTGCGTATAAGAATTTCCGTTAGATAAAATTTATATTAGAGCACACGCGCTTGTAATTCCACGTTACCATCTGTCACGAAAAATAAACCGTATTTGACGATTAGTTTTAAATAACGAGCTACAATCTAATGTCAGAGATATACTTTGCTCTTGGACGGTTTCATCGATGGCTTCGGAAACGTTCGTCATATTCGACAAGCTATCGTTCAGTCCGATGCGTTACGTATATATTTATAAATATATATATATATATATATCGTTTTTATATTTATTAAAATTTTTAAAATATTTAAAGAAGCGCGCACGCGCGCGTTATTCCTTGGCAGCTGCTCGAAATAAGAATGACGAGTGAACGTTTTCTCGGAAGATGCGAATTTCTTTCAGTTCAAATCTCGATATCTTCGATGAAATCGTTCAAATGTGGCATAATCTTTCGGAGCTAGGCCGGTGCACTATCTCTTATCGCTCTTCCATTCGCGGAGAGGGAAAGGAAATGTTCCATTATCTCGTATCTATATCATGGTTCCACCATGGTTCCATAGTGAATCGTGCCTTTCTATACTTTTTCTCAGTCATTTCGTTGATTCTTCATCATTTATCGGAAAATTCGATTTCTTTCGATCATGATAGGTAAATTATAGAAACGCGGAGCGATCTTACGTTCGTCACATGCGGTCATTAAAGTCGCTCTTTGATTTTCGATAAAAATCACATGTATATAAAAATTTGATGTAGATATGTTGCAAAAAAAAAAAAAAATACGCGCATGTACGATATTATTTTTATATAATTTATATTCGTATTATTATTTGTTTATATTGTTTTGCATTACACTGTGAATAACAAGTTGTATTTATAATTAAATACGTGATTTTGTAATGTAAGATTGTTCCGTCGTTTTAGGAAAAAAAAAATTTGAGAAGCAAGAGAAAGAAGCTACTTGTGCCTCGAGCGCGTCATCTATTTTAGAAATTAAGTAATTAATCGAAATGATGTCATTTCTATAAGGATATATGTATGGTGAACAATCGTCAGTGCTATTTGGAATTTGACTTTTTCTAGTCTTCGATAGCGGTTCGCTGGGCTCCACATTTTTATAAAGCGTAAAGTATCGCCGTTAAATATACATACATCATCGCGCGTTTAATGGTATATAATAAGAGAGATATATATATATACAGAGAGAGAAAGAAAAAGAATATATGTGTGAGAGAGAAAGAGAGACATGGGGTTCATTCATCATATCTTGAAGAAAAAAATATATTCAGTAAACTATAAGAGGCGACTGCGGAATATGTTAAAATAAAGAATCATGATTCGAAAAGATTGGCGCTACGTCACTCTATAATCATCTTTAAATCCAAACTGTTTTAGAGAACAAATACACGACAGATTGCACAATTGTTTTACGTGAAGCGAAAAGAAGGAAACTAGGGGAAAAAAGAAAAGTTACGATTAGCTCGTTAATAATCACGTCTCCTCGTGCCCCGTTTTCTCTCGTATCCTTAATTCACTCGTTATTGCGTGTCTCTTAGAAAGATGTCTAGTTGAAGACTTAAAGATGAATTATTCTTCTTCTTATTATTATTACTATCATCGGTGCAAAAGAGAGAGAAAGAGAAACGAAAGCGTGAGATAAGGTATCTCTTTGATGGTGACATTTAATAAGTGCTATATTAATTTAGAAGCGAAAATGAATGACGCGATGTAAGTGACTGGCGAACTCGTGAAATTCGTTAGGAAATCAAATTCGTATTGTTCGTGCCACGATTTTCATCAACTTTGATTATACTCGTCACCGTGACTTTGTAATTCCATCGAGAGGAATTACATCGATATGCAGAGAGAGAAAGAGAGAAAAAAGAACGAGATGAGGTGGATTTAGTACCTCGCGTTCAGTGCAATTAACAAAGATAAAAAAAATATATATATATATATACGTATATATATATATGCTGCCGTATCTAAAGTACGCAAAACGATCAAACACACACGGTGAAAAGGCACTTTTAACGTACACGTACATCTGCTGGTGCCATTCAAATGCAAATCGTGGAACGAACAAGTAGGATAATAACAGATATACATATATAAATAAATAAATATATATATATATAAATATTATATATATAAATATATAAATAAAATTCATTGAATCAATCGCGGAAATCGAGTGTGCGTTGCGTATATGGGACTGCGTGCGTGTAATTAAACATGTTACTAGATTACGAGGAAAATATTTCATTCTCATTCTGTGATGACTGTCTACTGAATACAAGAGGCGAGAAGAGAATAAGAAATGTTTACATGAAGTCTTAAGGCTAATGGATTAATCAATTGATTTAGCGAATAAAAATTTAATTAACAGTCGTTGTAACTAACTGCGCAAATGAGAGAAAAAGGAGAAATGAATCTTTATAGACGTAAGAAGACGCGTGTGTATGTGTCTCTCGTTCATTACGTGTGTGAAGAAGAAGAAGAAGAAGAAGAAGAAGCGGACATGATAAATACGTCGCGCGCAAACATAGAACTTTAATATGTTAAAAGAAAAAAAAATAAAGAGAACACACGCTGTATCCGAATTGCGGCGAGAAGAGAACAATATGATTTGTATACTGTATAACTTTAGTCGTTTATCATTGCTTTCGAGAATATATAAGAGTTATGTGTGTATAAATTATTATGTGTAATTAAACAGAAGTCATTTAGTAAATTTTCTTATAAGCGTATATAATATATTATAAATACAGAGGAAACACACACACACACAGAACCACACAGCGACACTCCATACACGTACAAAACACACTATAAAGAAATTACAATAGCAAACGCCGCTGTATCATACGTTTGTTTGAGTAAAATAGTGATGATACGATTATGCAAATTAATAACGATACAATAAATACTTATCGTACGTCTTACATAAATGGCAGATGCGTCTGTGGCAATCGACTGTGGGGCCCAATTTTTACAGGGCGTTTGCATGTGTGTGTGCATGTACAAAGTATCCAATTTTTAATGATGCGTGCGAATATATTTGAATCTATTAGCAATATCGAAAAGTGTTTTAGACAAAAATTAAATAATTTGAAACATAATCTGATGTTAATGTTTTTTTTGTAAATATAAATTAGAGTTTACAAATGAAGAGCTGCATTTCTTAATATATTCAAAAATGTATGCATATAAAAGTATATTTTATTTAGAAAAACGAAGAGTTGACATTCATATTTTCTCTACATTTTCGTCTACAAGAAAACTACCGATATCAGATTGACTTTTTCGAAATCAGTCAATTCTTGTCTGTAACATTTTTCGATATCACTAAATCAGTTTCGAAGATATTTGTGCATTATTTCAAATGGAACGCTGTGTGTGTGTGTATGTATGCATTTTATCGCACATCTCGTCTAAACGTATCACACAAAGAAATACATACACCATTTTTTTCATACTATGACATGTATATCTTCATTATGCAACATACGAGCTTAACGCCATGATTTTGTACAAATGCAAAAAAGCTTAAGAAATTTTCAGATAAATATAAGAAAGAACAAAATATATATATTAGCGATAATAGGATGTCGTATTACAAATATTAATAACATTATAAACAATATTGTGAGATTCGATTAGAATTTCAGAGTTAAATATTCACGAATGAATATTTCGCTTCTAACGCTCTGCTATATGAGTCTTTAAAAACATGAGCTGCGCTCTGGATTCTAATGCGGCCAATTCCGCTACAACAGGAGCCATTTGTTGGACATGATTTTTGTAATCGGAACCTATGAGATACGAGATACGTTTTTAATAATAGCCTCGTATTGTAACGTAATACGAAAAACAATATTACATACCCATCGCCATTCTCTTTTCGCCATACGTAACTTTTCCATCAAACTCATTCAGCGGCACCTTTATGTCCGATTGGACTTGTTGAATCGTCACATTCAAGTGATCCTCAATGTCCGCCAAATACTGCCAAATGTTTGCATCGATTATCCATATATTTATTATGAAATTTTTATATAACTATAGAATTTATCTCGAGTGCTCTCTTTCAAGAGAGACAGAGAATAGATCGTAGAGATTTACCTGGGGCTCATTGTACCACGTGCAACAACCACCCTGATTAGTCAGATTGGTGTTTTGGCAGTTTCTCCCACGAGAAGAACACCATTCGCCGTGATACCACACCTTCTCCGGCACACTACTGACCAAAGAGATCGCCAGACCCATCCTCTCGGCTCTGCCGACTCGTCCGATGCGATGCACGTAATTGGACTTCTCATCGGGAAGAGTTATGTTTATCACTGGAAAGATGACACGAAGAGAAATAACGTCGTGATCTTTTCATAAAAGGTTTCGCACAATTGAATTACTCACTGAAAGGTAGACCGGTGATATCCAATCCTCTGGCCGCTACATCGGTGCAGATCAAAAATTTCACCTCTTGACGTTTGAACCTCTCCAGATTGGCCTTACGCTCCGCGGGCTTCCTGTCTCCGTGCAAACACACACATGAGAACTGCTGTCCACCGGCCTGCTTCAGGTATCTCTCGAGATTATCGCAATCGAGTTTCGTCCTGCAGAAGATCAACGCCCGGTCCATCTTGTGTTCTTTGATTGCGCGTATGCAGTACTCTCCCTTCAGCATCTTTACTGCCTCCGACAACGTTTCTGTAAGATGAACGAATATTACATCGTGTCGATCTCTATAATTAAATGATAGAAAAGAGATTATGAGCATCTAACCAGCGGTATTGTTCCCTGGTCTCACGTTATCTCTTGCATGTACAGCATCAGTTTCTACATGATTTCTTAGATTATACCACGATTTGTCCTTCTGCGGATCTACCGACACTACAACATGATGAACAGTCTCAGGCACTGCGTCTTCGCCTTTTAAATCCACCCAAGTTGGAAAATGCATCAAACGTTCCTATAAGCAAAAATTCGAGAGATATAGTTCATTCATTTTCATTTACATTTTCATTTACTTCCATATCATATTAGCCAATGTTAAAATGTCTCGATGCAAACTTACGGCCATCTTTTTAACTTCGAATGCGTGTAACGTCGCCGAACACACGATCATTTGCAGTCTCTTGCCGTCCGACGTAATTTTTGGAATCTGTTTGTGCAGGCGATCGATAAGTTCGGTGTAACCTTGCTTTAGTAATCCGTCAGCTTCGTCCAGCACAAAGAACCTTGAAATGAATATATCAATTTACTTCTCTATCTGACATGATTTCTTCGTAGTCGAGCGATAAATTACCTGCAGTGCGTTAACAACAAGTAACCGCCTTGTATAAGATCCTCTAGACGTCCGGGGGTTCCGACGACTATGTCTACACCGGAGTTCAAGACAGCAATCTGCTCTTTTACATTCACACCACCGATAACGAGCAGCTCTCTGATCGTTGGATTCTTTAAGTGTACTTTGAACTGAAAAACAAAGTAATTTTATTAATATTACATATATATTCTCGATGACAAAATTTGTTGAAATTCTCATTTACCTTCTGGATTTGATTGTAAGTTTGTTCAGCTAATTCGCGAGAGGGCTCTATGATGATGGCTTGAGGCGCGTTATTTGTGGGTTTACCGCTTTCAGTTGATTTCTGATTGCTGCTGACGGGATTGCACTTGATGGATTCCTTGGGAGCCGACGATACGGCTACATAGTCATTTGGAGGCGGATGCTTGAATGGTTGCGCTCCAAAATTGAAGCCCATCTCAGCGTTCTTCAACACGACGGCCGGGTAGTAAGTTTGTGACTTTTGTTGCGCGTTTAAAGTAAATGCAACGCCCAAGTTTACGCCGTTTTTGGTAAATTTTATTTCGCCTTTCGCCAAATCGATGAAGCATCCGATCACATCGTGCATCCCGAAGGCTTCCCCATAATCATCGAATTGCTTCGCGTTCGATTTCTTTCCGGTACCACCGAATCCATAACCGAATCTATCCGTTCCTAAATCCAAAGTAGCCTGTTCCAAGAACGAAATTCTTAGAATTACAATATATTTAATTATATTAGCTCCAATACAGCATGCATATATAAAAGATGTTGCTTATACATGCTGCATGGAATTAGAATTATAATATATAAGAAATTTAGAACAATGACCTTATATAAAAATATATATTAATATATAACTTAAATTAAATGTATAAAAAAACTACTTGCCTGAGATGTAGACCAGCCCACTCGGCATAAGCCTTCGTCAGTAACTATGGCCTCAAAAAATATTTGCCACTTCCTGAAATCCCTTTATTTGCACGGCAACCATGCCATTCTTTCTGCTCTCTACTCTGACATCTTAAACCATCTGGTGTCACTGCCAAGGCTCGTCCTCTATCAAACAGGCTCAATCCCCAATGTGCTGCTGTATAAATAATGACAAGATATTTGTATTAAACTTTCCAATGATAAGTTTTATAACATAAACTTGTAACACAAGCTTAATACACACATTGTTGAGTTTGTGCACTAGCTCCGCCTCCTTTTCCAGATTCAAAATCTTTCAGAGTCTCCCAGACTATTTGTAAAATAGGCAAACAGAAGGCACCAGTTTTTCCACTGCCAGTTTCGGCAGCCATCAGTACATCTCCACCACCCAGAATCAGCGGGATGGCCTCGGCTTGAACATCGGTTGGTAGTCTGTAATTTACAATCTCTTGAAAATAATCAGATTAAAATATAACTATCCGTTAGATTTGTTACATTTTTTCAAAACAAAACTTGTATCACATTTTTACTCACGTCCAATCTATGTCATCAACTGCCTTTCCTATTTCTGGCAAAACACCCATTTCTAAAATATGAGAAAAATTAATTATGATTTATTTTTGACACAATATAACATATGATGCAATAATTATTGCACAAAATTTTGACATCATGGAATTGATTTTTTATATAAGCTAAAGTTACAAATTAACTTATTGTAAATATTACCTTCGAAAGCAGTCATTTTTGCTCAATTATATTAAACTAGGCTTTCTTAAATAATATACTTTTGCGAAAAACGACGTTCCCGGCAGATTGTAGCAGATCAGCTGTTCTCGCGACGCCGTTTCCCCTAAAATCAACAGTCGTGATATATCATTGACGTAGATTGAACTCTACATTGGAATTTCTTTTAATGGCGGGAGAGTGGTTCGTAGAAAAGGATACATATGTATTGAATGGATCGCTGTCTTTGTCAGGCATTCCTATATAGTATCATAATCAAAAACATTGACTGCACATGTTTTTTATTCACAAGAATTTCCAATTTTACTGTATGAATTCATAAATAAAAAATGGAAATACTTTTCAGAAGCTGCGTTTATTTGTATCGCAATAAAATATCTGAGAGAAATATTTTTTTCTTCTAATACTAGGTACTAGTAAAGAGAAAACTAGCACGTACTATAGAGTCTACACCTACACACCACGAATATATCTGCTCCGTTTACGGCTGTGTTGCTCGGTAAATAATGTTTTTGTAATGTAACGAAGACACAAAGTGATTCACGCGGGTGAAGATTCGAGGAAATTCAGAAGAATTTTGGCGGAGATGATACTTGGCATCGTTGGTCGGCTCACTGAAAGATAACATCGCGAAAATGACACCCAAACGGAAGGCAAGTACATTTAAAGGTTATGGCCTGAAGTTTGCAACTCTTTCGTTCAACTTTGCGATTAGCTTCATTCGCATTATCGTTAAATAATGGCCGTTTGTTCGAATCACCCGTTCTTTCTGCATTATATTTTCGTCCGCTTTTCCTTCAAAATTTCATTGTGCATTTGTTTCATTTTAAGTACGGAATGTAAGAGGAAGTATAACTATGTTATCTGATGAGTGAATTACTTAATTGACTTGTTTGTTAACCACGTTTTGTCTTAAATATACAATATATAATATTAATATACAATATATTATATATATTATATATATATAGATATATATATAGTATATATATATATATTTATCTTATCAATATATATATATATATATTATATATAATAAAATATATATATTATATTTAACATATAATATATTATTATATATAATATATATATATAAAATATACAAAATCCTTTTGTAGACAACCAGTTCGGAATCTACATCATCGTCCAGCTCGGGTTCTTCCTCGAGTAGCTCATCGAGTTCAGGCAGCGAATCTAGCTCATCCGATTCGGAGAATTCCAGTAGTTCCGCCAATAGTCAGAAAGCATCCGATACAGAAAGAACCAAGAAGAAAGCACCATTTCCAGTCACTCGCCATGTCAAATCCAAAGCTGAAACAGTTTTCGTGCCACCTTTGGATAATAAAAATAAAGACAGACAGCCGCAGAAGCCTAGACCAGTATACTCCTCTGAATCTGAAGAATCACCCAGCAAAGCAAAATCACCGCAAAAGAGAAAACCACCAGCTAAACCAAAAGCCACTGCTACCGTAGCACCAGTTGTTAAAAGATCTCCCACGAAACCAGTACCAACATCAGTAGGGCAGCATAAAGCCACAGCTGCTTTAAAACCTGTTAATAGCAAGCCCAACAAATTTGTCGGTGTGTTTATATGCTATTTAACTTTAATTATTATTCTATATTTTGTAAGAAATTATATATTGCTATCCATTTTTTCTGAAATAATACATGATTGATAATTTTTCAGGTGCCACGAGTGCCAATGGCAAATCTCCCGAGAAATCTGGAAAGGCAACGGAACCGGTTCAGAAGAAGTTAAAGAAGAAAAGTATATTTAGTCCAGAAAATAGTAGCGAAAGTGACAGTGGTATCTTGACGAAAGTTAACACAGTCAAACCAACGAGCGGTTCCGCAAAATGTACCAAGAATCCTCCGGCTAAAGCAAAATTAAATGATACCAAGCAAAAACCTGCAACAACAAGGCAACTTGGTAAATAATTATATTATCGAGATACGCATGTTTTGAATTGTTTTAATATAAGTTTTGAAAAACGTGTATAATGAAGTTTCTGATATATATAATATTATTTACAGTCGCAAAACTCACGCAACAATCGCAGAAATCGGACAGTTCCGCGAGCTCAAAGAGCTCCGGTGGCTCAGCATCTTCCGGTAGTACAGACAGCAGCACTGATTCGGAATCATCTGAAAGCGTCACCAGCTCTCAACCTCAACCGAAAAAGAAGGAAACACAGCCTAGCAATACGAATGCTATAGCAACCGTGCCACCTAAGAGACCATCGGCGGCAGTCGCTCCGGTAAAATCGCAAAAAACTGTTACTAAACGACAAGGTAAGCTAATATATAGTTTTTTAATTGATGTATCGCCATATAATATTTAAAGAAAACAAAAAGGATTATTTTGTGCATGAATAGGCGCTGTAAAGAGCGACGATGACGGAGATGCATCTGCGAGTGAAAAAGAGGACGAAGGAGCATCGGTTTCAAAAACAGTACCGAAAGGCAAGCGAAAGCTGCAAACGCGCAAAGGAAGTAAATTGCTTCAGCTACAAACGAAAGCAGTCAGCGATTCCGAATCTGACACAGGTAATCAAAGTGTAATAACTAATTTACACTTGACTGATTTGATGTTTTTTACTGTAGTTTGTAATATCTCTATCCTGCGATCTGAACTCTTTCCCCGCGAATTTCAATGTATTTAGAGAAACTCGAATTGTATTTGTTTAGTTCGAGTTAATATCGCCACTCATATATAGTAAGACATTATTATAAAATAAATATTTCCTTTCTTGAGGTGGCATTCGAATCGGAAAGAGTAGATGTATTTTCTTTGAGCAATGGATTTGGAAATCTATGCTGCCTCCTTAACACAAAAAAAAGCAGTATTTGCGCTTTTGGATATAAAATGGATTGAAAATGTATGCGTATTTTAAATTGTACAGTATTTCGAGAGTCGATAATACACAAATATTTCGTGAATAAAGATCAAAGCAAAGTTGTCCTAAGATGCAGATACGCTTTCTTTTTTGCTTATGGTGGCAGTATGGTTCTCAGGTATGGAAACGGTAGCGTGTAAGCGTATCCTACAGATTGCGCTAACTCGGTGTGATCTGTCAAGAGTAGCCGAGAGCAAGAGGAGTACGAGTAAATCGCCTGTTAAACGAGCCGGACCGTCCGCTGCAGCCAGACAAGCCTCCTCCGGAGCCGGGAGATCGACGCAGAATAGCGCCTCTAATACTAGTACAAGAACAAATCAGGCTCCTTACAATCGAGCACGAGCTACTACGAAGGAGCGTGAATGTCCGCTGGCATCTTGCGACTCGCGGGGTCATCTCTCTGGAAAACTCGACTCGCACTTCACCCTGGAGGCGTGTCCACTATATCACAATACCACTCCACAAGCTTGCGTGTAAGTTGTCAAAAATGAAATTAAATTATGTTAATAATAATTAAGAATAGAATTGAGCTATTCAAAGAAATATCATACTTTATATTTATCGTACGAAAAGAAGAACGGTCTTGGTTTTTTCAGAGAATTTTATAAAGAGAGAAAAAAGCGAGAGGATGAACGCAAGAAAGCTGTAACGAATTTAGCTAAGAAACCTAAGGGTGTTCATCAAACTACTGAGCAGCGCAATTATCAACTTAAAGTGCGAGAGATGAGAAACAAGTGGAAGGGTAGCACTGGTGACGGTAACGAAAGCGACAGCGGCGGTGAATTACAGGGAAACGAGAAAGACAGACAACCTCGGTTGACCAATCTCACGCCTGATTATGACCTGAAACTGTTTATGGAAGCCCAAGCGATAGCCAGCGAGAAAATCGTAAGTATTCAGTTTCATCTTAGTTGATACAAAATATATATTTACTATTATTCTATTGAATACTAATATATATACTATGGCTATATATATATATATATTTTGCAAAATAATATTACAGTGTATTAAAATAATATCGTGTAATTTAATTAGCATTTTTTTCAAATCATATAAGCATTCTATTTTTCTCTACATATATGTTTTTTTATATTTAAGGAAAAGGAATTAAAAGAATTGGACTATGATGGCGAAGGTAGAAATGGCGGTGGCACACGAGTCGTCGAAATGGGGAAATGGGAAATGGAAGTTTGGTATCAAAGCCCATATCCTGAGGAGTACAGTCGTGCTCCGAAACTTTACCTTTGCGAATATTGCCTGAGGTACGCGAAGAGTCGTCAAGTGTTGAGGAGACACAGAGAGAAATGTTTATGGAAACATCCACCAGGACACGAAGTGTACAGGTAAATACACTTTACCGGTATCGTGTTCCTTTTATGAAAGTTCTTATTTGCAAAGGTAAAACAATAACAGATATATTGACAAATATATTGTTGATAGAATTAATAAATTAACAAAAAATTTATCTTTTGAATCTTTTCAAAATTTTTACTAACAAAATAAAGAGAATTATGTAATATTTTATCACAACTTGAATAATCTAAAATCTAAAACGACAGTCTAAATTACATATGTTCGTCTTTTTTACAGAAAGGACAAGATAGGAGTGTGGGAAGTGGATGGTAAGCGGTATAAACAGTATTGTCAGAATCTCTGTTTGCTGGCCAAATTCTTTCTGGATCATAAAACGTTGTACTATGACGTCGAGCCTTTCCTGTTTTACGTCATGACAATCGGCGATTCCGAAGGCTGCCACACCGTCGGCTACTTTAGCAAAGTGAGTACCTTGTTTCTCTCTTTTTCTCGTATTACCACCAATTATGCGCCCATCTATATTCACCCCTAAAGTACTCATGCGTAAATTCAATGAACTTTACGTTCTGTTACTTCACGCAAAAGTAGCAGCGAAATATTTATTGAGAAATACATGTACGATATGTGATATCGTATATTGCTCGAAAGAATTTGTCGATTGATCCATATGTATCGCAATTGGATCTGTTAGATTGCGATATTTTTTTAAACTTACGAAATATCAAGATACATATTTTCAAGATATTATATTTCAAATGTCGTATTACGTCGATTGATTTTTTGTCAGTTGCCATTTTAGTACTATGAAGAATTCTTTTATTTCTCAAAATTCATCATCTTTTTATCATCTACATTAATCGATCTAATGAATCGTCATATTAATTTTCATTACGAGTGAGATGATTACGAGTGAAAATATAAAATAAAATTGTTAAAAGAGATATTTACAATTCTGTATCGTTATTATCATTCGATATTAATTTTTATTACGAGTGAGAATATAAAATAAAATTGTTAAAAGAGATATTTACAATTCTGTATCGTTATTATCATTCGAGTGCCGAAATCGCAACTGGATGAGATACCATTCCTAATAATAGCCATTCATACAAAGTCCCGAAGCCCTCGACGCAGTCGACGAGCTGATCCATCCGTCTATACGCAATACGCGATTCCTTTCGCAGCTTAACAACCAGTCGCTTTTGTAATGACATCCGCGTAGCGTGCATGCGGATTACGCGAACGGGGGTGCGCCTCCGTGGAGTGTCTCTCGTATCTCTGACCTTTCTCCATCAATCCGCCAGACCGTACGCACACACCCGCGTTGCCTCGAGCGAGGGTGGAATGCGCGGAACACGGTATTTCGCCGGGAGTCGAAATCTTTACCGACGTTCAACGACCTCTGACCCTGGCGCTGGCAAGACGCATCCTCGATTCTTAACCACCCCGTGGTTATCTCTCTCTCTCTCTCTCTCTCTCTCTATCTCTCTATCTCTCGAAAACTCGAAAATTTCCAACGGATTCGACTTAAACCTTCTCGCGTTCCTTAATTCCTTTGTCTTTTCGCCTCTCACGCGGAATCGGCTCTTCTTCGTCTCGGAAACCCTTTTATATCGCTTGTTGTTTTTTCTCTTTTTTTCCCTCTCTCTCTTTCTCTATCTGTAAAAAGCTGCCGAGAAGAATGCGGAGCTAGAGAGATGAGGGAAAGGCTTATCTGTTCTGCAAATTGTTACATCAACGTCTTGACAAGTGGATCGCTTTGTTAAACTTTGTGTGCTTTTCTTTCAATCGACTCTTATTTCGTTCATCGCCGATGAATGGAGACGATTTTTTCTCAGCGCGAAAATAATGCGCTTGAAATACTCTTCGAGTAATTAGCCGATTAGAAATTGATCAAAAGATATTAAAAAATAATGCAATTAAAGCGGAATAACGTTATTTTTTGATTATTTCGTTTTCAATTAATGTTTCTGATGGACGTTTTTTTCTGACAAATTTAAGAACCAGGTTGTAAGAAAGCAGAAAAATTGTTATCGACTCGATTAAAAGATCTGTAATGATTAATGATGTCCGTCGCGATCGTGCCTTAAAACTTATGGCCCATCACGCGAGTTCACTCGATATACGGTCGATCGAAGATTTAGGTTGCGAACGCACGACTTTGATAGCACAAATTGCATGAAACAGCTAGTCTTTATCGTTACTGTCGAGGGTGTCAAATTGCGTTACGTCTCGCGTAAAAGAGGGCGTGTCCCGTCCTGAAATATTCAGTTAAGTTCCCAAAGTAATTCCTTCGTTCGAAATTATATCATGGTGTACGTGAGCTCTTTCGTAAATCCCATGAGCTGCAGGAGCCACTTGCTCCTATATATAGGCAATCTATATCTCATCTTCTTGAAATGCTGTATTTATTTCAATCGAGATGCTATGTATATAAATACACAGGAATGTCTATAAATATCTAGTATAACACTAGAAATACATGTAACGACACAAGTATACGGTGCGACATTATAATAATACAAAAGAAAATATCAAGGGTTGAGGGAACTCGATCTTCCCTATTCTCGGTACATATATAATTAAATCACTTCGATCGATAGGATAACTTAATTGGGAACACAATTGCGTACACCCTTATCGTATTAATATCTCTCGAATTCAGGACGATACGATGTAAATCATACATTAATACATACACATTCACGAATCCTTTTATCTATGAAAATAGATTGACATTGGCTCTCGTTCCGGGGTATTAATATAAGGGCACACTGATCTCTCTGGACGCATCTTTTCCGTCGGGTATACGGACGGCCGGCAAATTATGTTACACTCTGTATAAAAGGGCGTAACTCGCTTCCTGCATCCGCAGCGGCGGCGGCGCGAAGTCAAAATCTTTATAGACGTTCAATGACCCCGACCCTGGCCAGACGGTCGCAGGGTAACGCCGGCGTTGGTGGTGGTGGTGGCGGCGGCGGCGACGGCCGGGATACGAGGGATGAAGGTACGAGAGGGAGCGAGAGAAGAGGAGAGGACAAGGGTGGCCCTGCGTACGCTATGCATGCGCTTCAGCACACCAGGTGGAGGAAGAGAAGGAGGAGGATAGCCGGGTGGTTTAGGCGGTTGGCCGATGGCGGTGGTTGTGATGGAGGTGGTGGTAGCTGCAGAAGGGGGTTGCCGATGGTCGCGGAGGGTGATGTCGGCGCAGGAGGGGAAGGAGGGCGTCGCCTGCCGCAGAAAGGTTGACGACCCGATGCGGCACTGCGACGTCGTCGTCGTCGTCGGGGTCGTTATTATTTCCTCCTACTCCTTCTCTCTCTCTTCTTCTTCTTCCCGTTTACTTTCCACCGTGTCTTTGCATTCTCTAGTCTCGTCTCCGTCGCTCCTACCACGTCGTCGTCGTCGTCCTTCCGATTCCCCTGGATTCTGTCCTTCGGCTCGTCTTAACACGCTTCCTCGTCTTAGCACGCTACTACTCTATCCCTTCCCTATATACGATCCGTCTTCGTATCCTGCTTTGCATTCGCACGATTTCCGAGGACGCCTTCGACGCGATCGCTCACGCATGTTTCTTTTTTCCTCGTACCATAGGTGTCTCTTGTCTTCTTATACGCGCTTTCCTCGATCTTATGCGCATAATTTTCACATAGATTTGTTCGTTTCTTCGTCCTACCTCCAGGACATCCACAATACTGCGCAAAGTATCGACGTATCCACATACCGATACGTGACCTTAGGATTTTGAGCTTCTATCGAGGTACCGTGTGATTTCGATCATTTTTCTCGTAGACGACACCGCGCTGATCGCGAATATTGCGTCGATATTGAATTTCCAAGTGTTGGCTCGTCTTTGAACTACCGACGACTAAGGTTCCCCCGACCGGTTTCAACCTCGTTCCCTACTCGCGTTTCTCCGCGTCGAATTTCATCCCTCTCTCTCTCTCTCTCTCTTCTCGCTTTTCCGTCTCCTCGTCGCCGTCGTCGTTGCCGCATTAAACCGCAATGTCGGCGCCTCGCACCCTGACGTGGCTGCGAAGCGGCCACCACCCTGAAGCCCCGGGATCTCCCGGGATCTTCCAGGATAACGCTGGCGTTCGCGCTCAGTTTTTACCTCTTCCTATATTCCTCTTTCCTCTTCAGAGGCAGAAGCCCAACGAGAGGCCGGAAATCGCGAGTCAGCTCGTGCTCCGACACCGGAAGTGGATTTACGCGCGACCGCACGAGCGTCGTATAGATGTGGATTAACCGGGATATGGCATCCGTCGTCATCGTCGCGACGTCTGTGAATTACCGTGAGCTCTGTTCATCTTCCTCCCTGAATCTTGTGGGCCGTCAGCGTGTATAGGATAATGTTTATACAGCTGTTCGTGGAAAATAAAAAACGCCCCGAAGAAATTTCTCAGTCTTAACGTATGTAACTGCGTTTAGACGGTTTACACTTTTCTCTTCCCACAATCTGGGAGATCGTTTAATTATTTTGATATGCTGCCGAGTATAAAATGGAAGTCTTGTCGAGTAACGAGACTACGGAAGAGAAAATATATGCGAAACCTGCGGAAAATGTTACGTATAACGATCGAAACACGGAGTGTATAAATTCAGGGTGTCTAGCGGTCAGGGAAATCTGGAAAACCGGACATTGTCAGGGAATTTGACTATTCATCTGGATTTTTTCACGTTATTCTACATTTGTCTCAATAATTTGAAATTTTTTATTAAATTAATATAAACTTTCCCTCGACTCCCAGCACGCTAATTTTCTGTGTTGTTAACTTTCGAACCTTTACTTTCAAAAATATCTCAAGGATTTCATGATTTAACATTTAATTAATTTATCATACAAATATATATTTGGAAAAAATAATACTAAAAAGTCAGGGAAAAAATAAATTTCTGGTCTTGGAGAACCTGAAAAAACCAGGAAATTTTTTTCATTGAGTCTGCTGGACACTGAAACTGAAACCAACGACACATTGAGAGTCCGAAGTAGGTATATACCCTCTATATTTCCGTACATATGCATATAGCCAATTAGAAATGTTTCCCTTCTTTCTTTCTCCCATCCCGTCGCAGCTTTTATGGGGCCGTTCGGAAGTACGCGGACTAGAAGAGGAGAATTCCTCAAAGTAGCTCACAGAATCGTTCAGATCGTAAGCTTCGATATCCCCCGTCGTAAAAGTTTCCTCCCGCAGCTTGACCTCCGATGATTCGGACATTGGCCTTGAACGAGACGGTCGTTGACCCTCCCCGTCCGGGCTAACGCGGTCGTTGACCTCGAGCGTCGCGGTCGTCGACCCCCGGGGCGGGAGATTCCCGGCGTTGAACTTGAATAAATCGCGCTCTTCACCTTGGACGACGCTTCCCGCGGATCCGTCGTCGTTTGGATTATCGACTCTTGCGCGCGGGAGACGAGAGGAGATTTTTGCCGCCTTCCTTCGTGCACCTTTGTGTGTCGCCTCC